TAAAATCCTCAAATTTTAAGAAAATTACCGGCCCTTAAATCGTGGATATTTGAAGAACATTCCGGGACTCAGTCGTGGCTATATGTCGCAAGCATATTTGCGGATCTCAAATAGTGGATTTGTTGATTTATTTCAGACCTAAAAGTTATTATTATCGTCCATCAATAAAAGTCCAAGTTTTAAGAAAAAAGTTCAGTCGGAACTTCGACAGAAATATATCCTCAGAATTTGACCACTTATTCATGTTTACTTTATTTGAAGTACGTATCATAATTGTTTATCTCGAAGTCCTAAAGGAATCGTCCATCAATAAAAGTCCAAGTTTTAAGAAAAAAAGTTCAGTCGGAACTTTGACAGAAATATATCCTCAGAATTTGACCACTTATTTATGTTTACTTTATTTGAAGTACGTATCATAAAGATTAAATAATTTCAACTTTTCACTAAATCTAGTATTAATACTTTGAAGAGAACTGGGAATAGTATCACATTTTATGAGAATAGCGATTATTAATTATTTTGTAGGATAGGTACCAGATCTATTGTTCTATTGCCTGGGTGATTCATTTACCCTTTGAGGGATAGAGAAGAAATCTATGATTTGGTGAATAGTAGCAAATAGAAATATGTATGAACTAGATGTGTAAGTTAAGGGAGGTATTGATCTTTCCTTATTCTACAAAGGTATTGGTCTTTGCTTGTACTCACAAACCATACAATACCTCATATTTGGTTTGTTTTTTAACTTTTTCCAACATTTTCAATTTTAATAATTGTTCAGGTTTCTTTCTCATTTTATATATCTGTGGGGCGAATTCATATTACAAAAATTTGTTTGACATATCAAGTTGCCTACAGTTGGCCTGATAGGGCTACCTTATAATTCTACCATGGGTATAAAAATTTCTCCGAATTTAAATCGGAATTATGTATTTTTACAACTGGCTTGGAATTTCAGGTATTTGGTACCGGCTTCTAAGATTAATCTTCATTATGAAATTGATAATTAAGACAAAAATATCAGCTATTTGCCCCCTGGCATATGGCGCAATAAGGTTGTCACATGGCAGAAGAATACAGATAGTCGCATCGACACAGCTGCTGGGACAATGAACTGTCAAACCGATTTTGATATTGAAAATCGTAAATGAAAAATTATTTAAATTTGTAAAAATTGTTGAAAAATACATATCACTACAACCTCCGATTGGATAATATCAGAGATTGGTTCACTTCCGAAACGGCTCGCAACAAAAATTCATCATTAATTGCGGGCTTGCTGGTAAGATTCTAATTATTAAATGAATGCTGTGCTTTCTTTGTCGTTTTCTTTAAAATTGCCGTCATATCACATATACACATACGTTTATATGCATGTGTGTGTAAATATGTAATTTTATAAAAGTCAACCCAACACACCAAAATAACAGAAATAATGTAATAATAAGCTGAAAAACACAAGCTTAACAGCGTTACCTAAAATTCGACGTAAAATATACAAATATTCAAATTCCCAACTACGGTAATATGCTTTGGAAACAACTCTAGTTTAATAACTGGAACCGGAAATACCTATCAAACAAGTGGTCACATGAAGGGGTAAGTTGTCATGGTTCGGAAGTTATAGTCAAATTATCAAATTTTTGGACCCGGATTTTTATTGAAACCGCCAAAACGTCAAAAAAGGGTCCATTATGGGTGTCAACATAATTGTTTCCAAATTAAAGCTGACACTCTTACCTTTCCAAAATGCTACAATTTGTGCTAATACCTTTTTCGGGTCCAGATATATGGGTCTTTTCATCCGCATAACCCGATAACCAGTTCATTAAAATGTCGTCGGAATAACAAAAGTTTTCTAAATTTGGCACTTTTTGTAAATAGCCGGCCTTCGGCCGGGGCTTGAGATTTTCTCCTCTGGGTATGTCCCACACCGGCTAACGCGAACCAAAGTTTTCTAAATTTAACACTTTTTGTAAGTAGCCGGCCTTCGGCCGGGGCTTGAGATTTTCTCCTCTGGGTATGTTCCACATCGGCTAACGCGAACCAAAGTTTTCTAAATTGGAAGCCTTTTGTAAGTAGCCGGCCTTCGGCCGGGGCTTGGGATTTTCTCCTCTGAGTATGTCCAACACCGGCTAACGCAAACCAAAGATTTCTGAATTTGATGCTTACGCGAAATATACTTTTTTTATTGAAAACTTAGTTTTAATGAACTAATTAGAATCGGGTTAAGCGGATGGAAAGACCCAAAAAAAAGTCGAAGATTCGAAATAAGACAAGAAACCAAGAAACAACCACCAAAATGAGTATAATTTACAAAGGGTGCTTCTTCAAACAATGAATTTTGCCGTGGATTTCTAAAAAATGTAGATTCCTTCAACACATAAAATCTTCAAATTTTAAGAAAATTACCGGCCCTTAAATCGTGGATATTTGAAGAACATTCCGGGACTCAGTCGTGGCTATATGTCGCAAGCATATTTGCGGATCTCAAATAGTGGATTTGTTGATTTATTTCAGACCTAAAAGTTATTATTATCGTCCATCAATAAAAGTCCAAGTTTTAAGAAAAAAGTTCAGTCGGAACTTCGACAGAAATATATCCTCAGAATTTGACCACTTATTCATGTTTACTTTATTTGAAGAACGTATCATAATTTTTTATCTCGAAGTCCTAAAGGAATCGTCCATCAATAAAAGTCCAAGTTTTAAGAAAAAAAGTTCAGTCGGAACTTTGACAGAAATATATCCTCAGAATTTGACCACTTATTTATGTTTACTTTATTTGAAGTACGTATCATAAAGATTAAATAATTTCAACTTTTCACTAAATCTAGTATTAATACTTTGAAGAGAACTGGGAATAGTATCACATTTTATGAGAATAGTGATTATTAATTATTTTGTAGGATAGGTACCAGATCTATTGTTCTATTGCCTGGGTGATTCATTTACCCTTTGAGGGATAGAGAAGAAATCTATGATTTGGTGAATAGTAGCAAATAGAAATATGTATGAACTAGATGTGTAAGTTAAGGGAGGTATTGATCTTTCCTTATTCTACAAAGGTATTGGTCTTTGCTTGTACTCACAAACCATACAATACCTCATATTTGGTTTGTTTTTTAACTTTTTCCAACATTTTCAATTTTAATAATTGTTCAGGTTTCTTTCTCATTTTATATATCTGTGGGGCGAATTCATATTACAAAAATTTGTTTGACATATCAAGTTGCCTACAGTTGGCCTGATAGGGCTACCTTATAATTCTACCATGGGTATAAAAATTTCTCCGAATTTAAATCGGAATTATGTATTTTTACAACTGGCTTGGAATTTCAGGTATTTGGTACCGGCTTCTAAGATTAATCTTCATTATGAAATTGATAATTAAGACAAAAATATCAGCTATTTGCCCCCTGGCATATGGCGCAATAAGGTTGTCACATGGCAGAAGAATACAGATAGTCGCATCGACACAGCTGCTGGGACAATGAACTGTCAAACCGATTTTGATATTGAAAATCGTAAATGAAAAATTATTTAAATTTGTAAAAATTGTTGAAAAATACATATCACTACAACCTCCGATTTGCGTCGTATAAGAAAACATATAAAATCGATTTATTTTTGACAAAGCACTTAAAAAAATGTGACATATCAATGTTCCCAAGAGTTGATGCATCTACCTATATTCTTCTACCATGGGTTGTCAAATGTCAATCGTGTAATAAATAGACGCCATCTCAATTGTCATGGTAGAAGAATACAAGTAGATAAATCGACACTTGTGAACATTGATATTTAAAAAATATCAACAATTTTGGCGTAAAAATTGAGTTTTTTGATATTTCTTTTTTTGCTTTCTTTTTCAGCAAAATTATCTAATTTGTAGTACGTTTACATATAAAGGGATTAACCCATTGGATTTGAATTAACATTGTTGTATCATGGCAGAATAATACAGGTAGATGCATCAACGCTTGGGAGCATTGATATGTCAAAGATTTTTAAATGTTTTTCCAAATATGAGTAGATTTTTAAACGTTTTCTTATACGACGATTTTTTAACAATTTTTACAAATTTAAATAATTTTTCATTTAACATTTTCAATTCCAAAATTGGTTTGACATTTCATTGTCCCAGCAGCTGTGTCGATGCGTCTACCTATATACTTTTACCATGATTTGTATTTCAAATTAATCCTCTAAAGTAGGCTAATTATGCAAAAAGCTGTGTTGAAGTGGCTACCTGTATTTTGTATATATAATTTAATCAAAAATCTGTTGTGTTGCAGCACATATATAAAACACATTCCGTCTGATATTGCCTTCACACGACATGTTTAATGGGCCCATGGCCCATGTATAAGGTGCCCCTTCCGAGCCAGCTGACTAACGAAATGTCAAAATTAACTATTGTGATTGAAGTCACAGAACACAAGATAAACAATGGGCAAAAATGTGTAAACATATTTTGACATTTCATAAGGTTTGAGATTAAAAACCCACACACTGTCAAAATGTTTATTTAATTTTTCAATTTTGTTCTAAAAGTGAAAACTCGAATTTTTCAACAATCGACTTTAGCAAGTTTGGAACAAATCTAATATTGACTTAGAGTTCGAGTTCCAGGAATTTTGATACTAAAAGTCGACTACCGAAACCATAAGTACAGATTTTTGTCGGTTATTCAAAAATGAATTAAGTAATTCCACAGCAGGTTCTGGAGCAGAGAGAACGTGTGCACTACCTTATACTATTCGTATCCTTTCAGCTTTGTTGTAAAATATCTGGCATTACACAAACGACAGTAGATGATGCAACCATATGTTTATAGAGTTAGGCATTATAATTAAAGGGCTGTTCCATTAAACGACTGTTCCACAACCTGCAAGAATCTCCTGGTTCTGCAAAAATTTTCGATATCATAAAGGGAAACTCGGTTATCATAGTGAGAACTTTCACATTCATGAACAGGAATTTGAAATCGACTATGAAGAGTCGAGTACTCGGTTTTCACCCAAGTCCATAGTCGAGTTTGATAGCATTTGGAAAAACGATAGTAGCAGCTAGTTCCGAGCTCTTTAGTGAAGATGTTCAATTCTCTCATGTCTCATTCGTAAACAACAGAGTACCCGGAGTCTTTGCTTTCTGTTTATTTTTTATCAAGTATTGCTTTTTGGCCTTTATATTCGCTTCGTTGGGACGTTTTTCATTTTTGTTTCCCACGCTCGCAACTAACAACCAAACCAAACGAAATTATCGAAATTATGCCGGATTGTTCTGAACATGTAAATGAGCCTGGACGGGGTTCCGAAACAAGTGAAGATGACCCTCCAATGTCCAGACTATTCATATTCTGCGACAAAATACACACGGAAAATGATATCCGCAAAAGCTTTTCGCCATACGGACTTTTACAAGATGTTAAAATTATAAAGGAGAAGGAAACAGGAGAGAACAAAGGATTTGCCTACGTAAAGTATGCAAAAACATCAGAGGCTGCCAAGGCCCAAGAGGAATTGCATGGTAGTATAATAGGAAAATCTGATCGTCCCTTAAGGGTATTTGTTGCAGCAAGGTAGGTTGATAATGATAATAAATGTATTTGGAGGAATTGACTTACTATGCTAACAAATATCGAATTGCTTTTAGTCGCAGTCAAGGTGCTAACAAATCTCAAAAAATTGAACAAGAACAATGCGTACGGCTATTCATACAATGCCCAAAAGAGACTGGCGAACAAGAACTACGCGATGAGTTTAAACAGTGGGGTCCTGTAGAGAGTGTTACACTAATACGCCATAAGGACACTGGTAATCCAAAAGGATTCGGATATATACGCTATACAAAATTTTATCATGCGGCTTTAGCATTTGAAAATTGCTCAGCTAAATATAAAGCAAAATTTGCAGATCCGAAAAACCCAAAACGCTCAACGGAAGATCATTTTTCAGATAAAAGCGAGCCCGGAAAAATGTTAAATTTAAATATAAAGAAGACCGAACAATCTCAACCAACATCATTAAATGTCATAGTAAGCAAGACAATTAAGCAAGATCAGCTTTGGCGCTTATTTGATATCGTTCCCGGGCTGGATTACTGTCAAATTCTTAAAGGTATGTTATTATCCTATTTTTAACTTATGGTTAGCAAACAAATCACAAAATCAATATTTGTAGAAGGCGACTACAACAATGAAGCTATAGTGGTATATCACAATCCAGAATCTGCAATATATGCCAAGTAAATACGGTTGCAAAGTTCTATTTTTGGTACATAATGTACTAAACGGACTTTTTTGTAAATTTTATAGAGAAAAAATTCATGGATTCGAATATCCGGTTGGTGAACGTATTATAGTTAAATTATCGGATATGAGCTCAGCACACATTGATACAACGTTCATAGAAAGTATGAAGCCAAATTAAATTGATACACATGAATCAATACATATTAATCTATTTGATACTACAGAGCATACTAGGAAGGAGACTTTTTGCAGTGTTCCTTTGCCGCAAGCTAATCCCATGGCTCCTAGCGACTCCCAAGTAGCAAAGCGTTTATTTATGATAATGCCAACAGTAAAAAATGATTATTTTTGCTTTTAAACTCCTATTCTAAACCGAATATATTTTTTTCAGCCTGTCCCAGTAGCCATTTTAAAAAACATATTTTCATGTTGGCCAGGACTGATCGATTTATACTTTCTGCCAAATAAGTCGTGCGGTTATGTAAAATATGCCGATAAGGAGTCCGCCATGAAAGCAATGGAGACCTTAAGTGGTGCAGAAATTTGCGGAACAAAGATTAAGGTCGTTTTTCCTATTAAGTTTGTTCAAGGCTATTTGCATTTGTCATCTTTTATAGATCGTTGAAGCTGAAGAACAAATAAAACATGATGGCTCCAAGACCACAAACGATGATGGAAGTCGCAAGCGCATGAGACGTAACTAACAAGTAAGTTTTTATAAGGTACATTTTCCTTGTGTACAATAAATATTCAAGGTAAGTAATATGTTATAATGAACTTAGTATTTATAATTCTGAATCGAATTACCAATTTCGGATCAAGCTAAGATTTGTACAAGCACCAGTGATTCATTTTTCAAGGTATATTTGTCTTTTGTTTCCACAGACATACAAGTTACAACAATGGACTTAAACGATTACAAACACTTAAAACTGACAATTCAAATGTTACCACAAAAACTTCAATACAAATGGAAACTAACAAAATAGAAATAACGGATTTACTTACATGAAGGAATTAATACCTACCTACTCTACTGCACACACTTAAATACAAACTAACAAAAATAGTAATACCTTACAACTTATTACTGAAGCATTCGTCTATAGTAGTGGAATCATTTAACTCCAAATTGAAATCATTAAATATTTATATTGGTCGTGAAATCTAGTACTTGATATAAGTACGTCATTCGCGTTTACCAATTTACCATTTATGTGTTGAATAAAAGGAAGAACGATTTAAATTCATGTTTCATTTACTATAAGGTTATCTGTGGTGCAATTTTGTAAATATTTACGGACAGAATTGTCGACATTTATCGTTAACACAAATTGTTCAAGTGCCTTTTATTTCGGTAAATAACTAAATGTCTCGATAATCTAGGGACGAAAATGAAGTAGTCGCTAAGCCCTACTGAAAGAAACCATTTTGTCAACATTAATTTCACTTTTTGTATAAACATTTTACCGATTTTTGCCGGTAACTACCGAAAGAATTACAAAACTGAACTTTTTGTATTGTTATGGCAGACTGCAGTCCCTTTTTGGCAACTTTTACTCAAAACAAAAAAAAAATAAAATAAAATAAAACAAGTGAGCAAAAGCTATAGTTGTGCGGGGCCAACCATGTGATACCCTACGACACTACAATATGTTAGAAGCCCCCTTATGTCCAAATCCATTTTGGAAGATTTCGCTTTTGAAATTATGTCACGGAGCAATGCCCAGACATTACCCTCAGCAATTTGAACAGGGACATTTGCCCAATATTTACGCACTCCGTAGTGCTGTTAGTTGTTGTGGTCCATTTTACAGCTAAATATTGCCTTTTCAGGCGTGTCGATTGGTGATAATGAAATTTTTTCTGTTTTTGGTTAATTTGAACCCCTTAAGATTTTGTGATCATATCCAAAAGCAAGAGGCTCCTCTGTATCTCCATATATAGACTCATCTATATAATTTGCTTGTCTACGATATTTGGCTATATTCGTCCACGAAATCAGCATAAGTAAGCCAGAATTTCGCTTTTTTGTATTTCGGTTATCGCCTGTAAGTAATGCTGGTATTTTTACACACAAAAGTATTGGTCCATTCTACCCGCGGTCCTAAACTCTAACTTCATACGAGATTTCGTGTCCCTTGGTTTCTATTTGTTTCTATTATAACGGCTGCAAAATCAGGAATTTTTAGTTTCTGGTCCATTTCAACCCCTAAATATATTGCGGACATGTTTGAAAACAGCCTAGCATCGGCCTAGCCCTTCTGAGCCTAACCCTACCCTCGTAAAAAATTGAGAGGATCGGACGATAATTGCAATCTGTATAAAATAATCCCAACCTGTGTTGTAAGTTAAAAAATATTAAAAAATATACACTTCAATGTTATAAGTCAAATTGAAAAAATCACATGCGATAAAAAATATGAAAAAAATGTCACTAAACACTGCAAAATCTATATTAACATCATTATTGGCAAGTTTTTATGCGATTTTTTTGGATTTTATACTTTTATGCTAAGAGGGCGTTCTGAATTGGCAAAATTTGTGAAAATCGACCCAGCCATTCTTAAGCATTCTAGCTAACATCCCCTTCCTTTGTATATACATATTGTATATATATATATCGCTATATATCCGATATATTCACTATCGGTATCTACGCAACGGTCAGAATTGACCAGTCTGTAAATTTGTGATTTTGGCGGGATTAAAAATATTCGCGGTTTCATCCACTAAATATAAACCGATAACCATCAAAATTGGAAGACTTCTGCCCAGCCCTAAGTTCTAGCCCCATGCTAACTTCCGGGTCGATTGGTCCATAATTGCGTCCGGTAGAGCAACTGCGAAATCAGGAAATTTTTCAGTTTTTGGTCCATTATGCGATCATCTCCAAAAGAAATAGGGTTCTATTCTGACCTTAACCCCAACTCATTTTTAAATTTCGTGAGGATCGGGCCATAATTGCGACCTGTAAAGTGATTATAAATAAACATGGACAGACGGACGGTCATACATAGCTAGATCGACTCATCTCGGCGAGATAGAAAGATCCATATATACTTTCCTATGTGGGAAACCAATATTTCGAGGTGTTACATAATTTTTGGCCTAATCAAACTTATAATACCCCCAACACACAGTGTTGTAGGGTATAAAAAGTCGTAAGGTATAAAAATAACCCTTGCAGTTTTCCACATCTCTGAAACAATTACCACACCTCATATCTTATCTACTTTCACTTGAATGTGTATAGAAATATCTATCATAAAGCGGTTGCCTGATTTTTTTAAACGGTCGGGAGTTTTATCGAAACAAACAATTTTCAAACCCGGATTTTTGAAAAACCACCAATAAGGCGAATTAGAAATAATTATGAGTGTACATAAAATATATACCAAGCTGATGCTTTATTTTTCTAACTTTTTTTGTTATTAAATTCAAGAGCCAACATTATCTAAATTTGATAAGTTTTTTATGGGCTATGCGAACTAACATTTTTAATAATATTCAAAGACTAATAACTCTAGGTCCATTATATATAGCAACGCATATTTTACTATTTCAGATAGGTTATAATGTCAAGTATGTAGGTAAGTACATATAAAATCCGGGTCAAAAATGGATTATTTTGCCGAATACTTTTAAAAGACCCCAGCATATGGTCACTTCTTGGATGGGCATATTCATAATTTAAATGTTTTTTTTTAGAACAAAGATGAGACATCAGCTTGTATGGTTTTTATTTTTAACAGCCTTATAACGCTTTTATTCTATTGAAGATTATCTCACTGGATTTAATAGATCTAGTGGGTTAACCTTGTGTGTTTAGATACCCCTGTAGGCGGATATAAAGCCATTCTTGAAGATTTACCATTTTAATAAACGAATTAGGATCTACCGGAAAGATATGAGAGAATAAGATTACAAGTTTTCACTGAAAAATCAAACTTATACACCTGTCATTTCAAAGAAACACCATTCTCTGTATTTTCTGTAATTTACCTTGTCAAATTTCACTGCATAACAAAAAAATTTTCCATCCCTGATTTGTGTATTTACAATCGATTTATAAATATATTTTTTGATAGTGAGGTGTCAAATGAATAATTTTGAAAAAATATTGTAGACCTTGGTTCATGAGCGAATGCAGATTCAAGTTTTCTTTTGTTATTGTTTGAATTCATAATATAAACAACGCCTTTGAGGAAACATTTGCGACTTTGGAGTGTACAGCAGTATCAATGTAACAACCCAATGTTGCTTTCTGTAGTATGTAGATTCAGCACCAGATTTAAAATATATCCGAGAGAAGATAGATTTTTTGTGGTAAATCTGGTGGAATAAATCGGTATTAAATCCAGATAATGTGAGTTAATCAAAATACAATTTGGCCATAAATGTTATTCAGAAAAATAGGTTAGGAAGAAAATCAACCTTAATGAAAATCAAATTTCTTTCAATGAACGTTTTTTTAGTATAATTATAATTATTAATTAAGTATAATTATTTACACAAATTTTGTAACAGAATGTTTGATAGTTTTGCCCCGAAAAAAAGATGAATGGAGTTACCAATGGAATGCGTGTATTTTTTGCAATTCCACATTCATCAAAACATAAAATAGCGAAAAAAAATATAGAAAAGTCTTTCAAACCTAATTGGGTAAATTGTCCAAAAACTGTTAAATATCACTTTATAAAGGAACAATATAGAATTTCGTTGATTTTTTGTTTTTTGATATTTAAAATTTCAATTTTAATACCATTTACAATTGTTGGATTTCCATCTTTGTTAGAAAGTTGAAGCAAATAGTACGGTAACACACAAATGTTTTGTTTGCTGCTCATCACAGTAAACGCAGTAGAAACAAACATAGCCGTCTTTGTTGTTCTCCTCAACTGTGTATGTATAATTTTTCTTCTATAGACCGGCAATTATAGAAGTGGGAAGTGCGTTAAGAATTTATTGTAATTATGTTTGATAATCGCTCAAATTCTCGGAATGGAAATCGGGACTCTCGCCGTGGTGGTGATCCAAATGAGGATGTCCCTCCGATGTCCCGTTTATTTATTATTTGCAACAAAGCTCATAGAGAAGAAGATTTTAGGGAGGCATTTTCTCGTTTTGGTCACATAGAGGATATTTGGGTGGTAAAGGACCGTCACACTGGCGAAAATAAAGGAATAACATACATAAAGTATTCAAAAACAACGGAAGCAGCTCGAGCCCAAGAGGAGATGAATGGAAAAACAATTGGGTCATTGGATCGTACGCTCAAAGTTCTCGTTGCTGCAAAGTGAGTAATAAAATGAGTCAAGTGTTATTTCAAACATAAATTTATACCATGTTTACTTTTCATAGCCGTAATCAAGGTTCAAGCAAGTCTGAGAATGAACATGAGAAATATGTACGCCTTTTTATTGTGTGCCCCAAAACCGCGACCGAGGAGGACTTAAAAGATGAATTCAGTCAGTGGGCCCCAGTTGAAAATGTCACTTTGGTGCGTGACAAGCAAAGTGGAAATTCTAAAGGCTTTGCTTACATTCGCTTTTCGAAATTCTACGATGCCGCTGTGGCATTTGAAAATTGTCCAGCTCATTACAAAGCGATGTTTGCTGAGCCAAAAGGAAGTACCACACGCAACCGCGATCAATACAGCGGTCGAGATGACTCAATTATGAGCGGACGGGGTGCTGGCCCGATTGGTAGTGGAGGTTTCGGTGGTGGAAATATGAACTGCATGCCAATGGGAGGGGGAGCAAACTTTAATAATGGCTTCAACGACTGGGGTAACAATTCATTCAACAATAATATGTCGCAATTCATGGGCATGCAAAACACACCAGTATCGCAACCAACTTGTTTGGAAGTTATTGTGAGCAATTGTGTGAATCAAGATCAATTGTGGCGACTTTTTGATATTATTCCTGGCCTGGACTATTGTCAAATAGTTAGAGAACGTAAGTAACGTCTGTTGTATAATTCTTATTCTTTGTTTATCTAACTAAAAAATTAGCGCGTCTATCTAACCTCTGGCAAAAAATGTACAATACTAGCATTTTGTCTGTTTGGGGTATTTTACAAAAGTTGTAGAACCAACTCTAGGAATTGGGGAATTCACATTGTAGTATTAGAGAGATGCATGTTTCGAAATGTATATTTTATGTATAGCTTCTTAATATGTTGTTCAAATTGTTTCATTTACAGATGATCCACGAACAAACGAAGCTCTTGTTGTGTACGATAATCCAGAAGCCGCTATTTACGCTAAGTATGTTTTTTATAGGAGGCTTCGAAAATATTTTGATTAACGCTTCTCATTATAGGGACAAGTTACACGGACTAGAATATCCAATAGGTGAACGTTTGATCATACAAGTTTCGGGAATGAGCGGCGGTAACCATATTGATACATCATTCATTGATAGTATGTTTGTTCAGCATAATGATTATAGATAGAAAAAAAAGCTTACTTTATGTTTCATTATAGGACGTCCAAAAAAGGATTCCATTTGCAACGTTCCCTTGCCTGATGCCCAGCCTTTAGCCCCAATTGATGCCCCCGTGGCCCAGAGATTGTTTATTGTATTAACAGCGGTAAGAAAATAATAAAAAAAACATCATATAACATCAAGTCTTAAACATGAGAATGTTGACTTCATGCATATCATGCAGATATTAGGAAAATTACTTTACACAATTAGTTATTAAAAAGTTATGTTTCTTTTAAAGAATTTGCCCATTTCTATATTAAAAAATGTATTCTCATGCTGGAGAGGTTTGGTCGATGTTTACCTATTGCCAAATAAGAACTGTGGTTATGTTAAATATGCCGATCGCGATTCTGCTCAGTCTGCAATGAGAGTTTTACATGGAGCTGAAATTTGCGGCACCAAAATAAAGGTAAGTTGCTGTGTAGTAAGCCATTCTTAATATTCATAAATTATCATCCTTAAAATAGGTTTTAAAAGCGGAAGAACGCGGCAATGGCGAGGAAGACGATGGTCGCAAGCGAATGCGTAGGAATTAAATGTAAGTTCCATTTCAAATAAGAAAAATTGTTTATTCCTTTGGGAAACTCAAAAAAGGTAAGCTCTTATTTTCTAATTTTTTATCATTCTTTAACATTTTTAAGAAGACATTGACATTGTGCTTGCGTAATTAAGGGCAAGCGGCTCATAAACTTCCACAAACATTTACATGACTAAAAATAGCAGTTTAATGCGAGTTATTTTTATTTTTTATTTTCACAGACATGAAATCAAAGACAAATGTTTAAGAATGTGATCTAGGTAAAAACGCAGATACCTTCTATATTTCATACAAGAATAAATTGTATCGGACAACCCTTCAACTCTACTTCAGCAATTGGGATAAAACAAAAAACGGATTACATACTGATGGACATGGACCTACATTCTTCTTTATATCTCAAAAACTCAATTCCAATTTCAAATGCATACCCGGACCACTTCTCTATTGAAATCAATTCCCATAACATTCTGCAGACAGACAAGACTGTTAAAGGGATTTGAATGAAATAAACTATTAAACGTACAATTTACAAGCAGTACGTCGGATTTATTTCACGATATCGGCGACAAACATGTTTCTCCCAAGTCACATGAAGAACAAGGGTTAATATAAACTATAATTATGAACACGGACTAATTTTAAATAGATCTTGACAAACACATATAAAAATATTTTATTGTACACTGCATTTAAATGCACCGGTTGATAAGACCGTACATTTTTCTTATACAAATATTTTTTAACTACATTTATTGATATATACATTGCAATAACATCATTTTAATGGATTAAATATATTAATAAAATAAACATTTCTTAAATACAGACATGAGTTTTACTACCTTAGCGGAAGCATTTAATTTTTTGCTACTTCATTTTTTTTGTTGGTGTATCGGGCAAATTTAAAATATTTGTTTATATTCACTCATACAATTCATCATGAGATGTAAGTGAAAGGACCTGATGTGAAAATCCTTTGACGAAAAAAAATAAAATCTGTTGTTTTGGTCATTGGTGAAGTTAGTTGATATCGATCCATTTAGCAAATGCACCCATCCGCTTCAAGATTTAAAATAGCAAATATCCTAGCTTTAGAAGCCCATTTTGGGCATTGTTTCGTTATTCTTAGATTTAAAATAACTATGAAGCAGTTAACTTAATGAAATTTGTAAAAAACTTTTGTGTGTGGATGGAGTTTTTTTAATACTAAAACTCATGTAACCTGTTTTAAACTCCACTGATGATTAGGTACTTTTTTATTTATGGTTCATAAATAGAACAAATATATTTATGTAGGATTAACCCCTTTCATCGTTAGGGTGTTATCTTCATATGTCTCCAACACATCCGCCAAATGTTCATTATCCCTGGGTTTCTTGAATTGTCGTTTCTTATTGGCCAGTTTTTTGCGTTTGGGAACTTGTTTCTTTGGTCCATGATCTTGCATAGAACGTATACCTTGTTTTTCAAGATATTCGTCAATTTTAGCATCGTCCATTGCATCAACAGTCGCGGAACGCCAAAGCTTTTGGAATTCTTCGTCAACCTGATTGATAAAAATATGAACATTAGTATTTTAAAAGGAATAAATTAATACGACATAAGACTAATTTAAGGCCCCCACAAGGATCACATAAACTTTAACTGATTACACACAACATTAACACAAACATTTTGCTGTAGAAGTCCACACTTTACAATATCTCATGCTCAAAAATATAGTAATTTTCTCATACTTTTTGAGTTAGTCCAGTGTAATATGGGTATCAATGCAAAGACCTTGCGAATTTAAAAGAGAAGTCCATACATAACTACCCACATATGGTCAGTCTTAAAATCAATTAGAGTAATTCTTGAGGTTCCTTCGGAAATTTGAAAGGGCAACACACGGGAAGTGTAGCCTTCTAATTCCTTCTAGCGTAAAATTTGCAGAATAATGTGCGAGGGAGCCGAACTAGACTTGCACCCACAATAGGTTACTTGTAGCTACTGTGTCTTTAATTTACATAATTTAATTTTAAACTTACTGTGAAATTGGCAGTGCGATCATTGTAAAATAAAATTTTCTTTTTGTCAATAGGCCTAACAATGAATATTATCTCCGACGCACGGTTTTTTAAAACTTTTTCGCAATGTGGCAGTGACTCTTGAACATCCTCCAATAAAATGCCACCCAATCCCTTAAGATCGTGTTGTTTTAATAAACGCAACAAGCTTTTGCCGTCCTTAATTTTATAAACGGGTTTGTAACTGAAACGTTGTCCATCAGGTGAAACCTCAATTTTAGGGTTATTCATAAGGGCTTCAGTTCCTAGCCACTAGAATGAATAAAAATTATGAAACTGATATTTCATATTAATCAAAAGCATGCTAACATTTTTAACTGACTGTCCAACGTCTAGTTGATTGGTTTCATCAAGAATTTCTTCCAATGTGAGTGGATGATCGTCTCCATCCTGATGTCGAGTACGCATATGTTTTACTATTTTGGCTAAAACGCCAAATCGGTACTGGGAACTGCCAGCCATAGTTTTATAGGTTGTTGCATCCAGTTTTGGTGCCGTTGGCGGACGTATTTTCTTTTGTCGATCATCCTTTGGTGCCACAAATGTTTTTTCCACCTTGGGTTTCTTTTCCACGCTGTAAATAAATAATGGTTTAATTCATTGCATTCTGAATACAGAGAATCTCAAAAACGTACGTTGGCGTGGCCATAGCCCGCTTTTTGAAAGCTTCACGTTCCTTTAAAAGTGCTGGATCCATGGTTGCAAATAGATTCTTTGTAATCTACGAAGAACAACAAAATTCTCCAAATTCTTTCTAAGTTCCTTTCCAAACAAATGATGTTTGTTGTTCCGGAAAGGTTTTCAACAGAAAATATTCACTGTATGGAGCTTTGTGGTATTACATTTTGTGCTTAGTTAGCACTTATAGAACGTTTACAATAGGCGCATACAGGGAAATTAAACCGAAAGAAGTGGATATCACTGTTCCTTCAGCCCTCTATTCGAAAATAAAAATTAAATATGCATTTTATGCTTGCACGGTCATCATACAAGGCTAATCCACTGAATCTATTAAACCCTGAGGGTAAGTCTTGAATAGTATAAATGAGCTATAAGAAGACCTGTTCTAAAACCTCGAAGAACCTTCTAGTTTTGAAACTTTTTTTCGACATCATAAAGGGAAAATCTGTTATCGTAGTAAAAATGTCACGTTCTTGCAGTTCGGAGACAAACCAAGGGTGTATAAAACAAATATTAAATCCATTAGGTTAGCCTTCAATACTGTCATAGCGCATTTATAGCTCGTCCAGATACAAAATATTAGGTATGTCTGGCTACCATAAAATTTGTAACAATTGTTGCAAATTGTTACTGGAAGTCGTCTGTTAACACAAAAAATCTGCAAAAGAGAGCGAATTGAGATAATTTTGACAGTTCTTTTGCTGAGAGTTTGCAAATTCTTGCTGGACAAATTTATTCTTGCAATCACTTCCAATTCTTCTTCTTCTCCTTCCGGTGATGTATATTTGGGCAAGAAATGTTAAAACATATTTCTTTTGAAAAACTCAAGCACAATTGTTTGTTTTTTAATCATTTTTAATTTTTGTGTTCTTAAGTTCTTTCATAATATTGTAGTTCTTATATTAATGCAGTTCTCAAACAGATCAATTATCAGAATTTGTTACTTAATAACACGTTAACAATCAAAGTTAATCCATATAAATCCTGGTAATTGACCAATCAATTTATGTTTTTCGTAGTCAAATTTATTTTGATTGGTCAATTATTACGGATAATCACATATCAACTTGTTGTATTAATTTTGAATACATAAATAAAAATAAAGTTAATAATTTCTTTCAAAATCATGTTCTATATATCTCTAAAGATTTATTTCTTTAAAAATACCGTATATTTTGTCAATTCATACGTTGAAATAAGCATTTTGAGACCCAATTAATTTAAATATTTTCTATACAATTTTCCATGGTAGAATAAGGAAGGTAAAGTCATGCAATCACATGTTTACATTTTGTTCAAAATTATTCATTTGACAACATCTTATTGTCAAAATAGATATTTATTGCAAGTATAGAGGTCTACCTGTTTGGCTTGTAATGTCAGAATTAGTATCAAAACAATAAAAAATCAAACTTGTTGCATTTATTTTGAATAAATAATTGAAAACCGCGATAATTGAATGAAAGGTCAACACTTCTTTTCAAAATCATGTACTATATATCTCTAAAGGATTATTTCGCTACAAAAACTTTAGATTTTGTCGATGCATACGTTGAAATAAACATTTTGAAAATACCCGAATTTGAATATTTTCTGAACATTTTTTTTGTTATTGAAAAGAAACACATACATAAACAAATAAATATGACATATTAAGCCAAGAAAATAAAAAAAATAAAATCACATGGTATCATTGTACCATGGATGCAACTACCTCTATTATTTTTTTCATATTGTGTACAGAGTACACAGAAAGGCAGGTACGCCGTCGTCAATTGCTTTAAACAGTAAAAGCCGCCGTCGACGAAAAAATCGTTACGCTTCGCTGTCTGTGACCGAAAATTGTAAATTGTTTTTTTTTTGTCGGAGAAAATAATAATAAACAAGTGCAATAACATTATTGAGAAGTGAAGTCGACGTAAAAGGCGATAACCGATAGAATAATTCAGAGTGGAAAATTGTAGAAATGGCATCATTTTTAAATTTGGGAACCAACCCATTTTCAACGCCTGTTGGCCAGAGAATTGGTAATATTTTCCTTATTTGCGTCCATGTTTGTTCTCAATAGTAAAAATGTACTTGCAGTGCAATCGTAATGTACAACAATCTATATTGTTATGAAAAAATATTCATTCGTGTTCCAGTATGTTTAAAGGTTTACGTCTGTGTTCGTTTTTCGCTGTCTCATTCTGAGACTTATTGGCATGGTAAAAAAATTAAATTTTCCAATTTTTCTTTTCTTCGGGGTGCAACTTGCTGCAATAGTAGCAGTTCCTGTAATATCAATGTTTGAGGAAATTTATAAATTCACATAAATATTCCGTTGTGAAAGTTGCCGGAAACGCATTGTATTTTTATTTTCCAGAAGAAATGTAGAAACAATGCCTAAGATGATGTTGATATGTATTCCACTTGGCTGGCGACGATTTTTTAACACCCAGCCGTGACAGGTTAATTACGTTACGTATGTCTCAATGTTATCTATTTCATTCAAGTCACTCATTAGATGTATGAATATATAATTTGAATAGCTGAAAATCAATGGTGAACATATGTTAATGGTATAAATGCATATATGCTTCCCTGTCAATGGCGATTTCCTTTAATTCAAGCATAAATGTGTTTTTCCATTTTCAATATTTAAAGAAACCCAGCTACATCAGATGTTTGAAGAAGTAATTCGATCAAGATGGCGAGGTAAAGAAGCAAAAAAGTTTTAGTTTGTCGACTTCGGAAAACACTAATCCTTCTAGAGCGATTCTGTCACTTCATTCAAATAAAAATGCAGCGTATGAATAGAAACAAGTCCAATTATACATTATTACAGACCCACAATGCTAAAAATCGTATATACTCAAAAAGTTTTAGTTTTTTTGGACTCGATGATCTTGTTCGCAGATGGTTAGATAGGTTATCCAGATCATTTTTGTTGTGCAGCAGCTGGACACTTATTTCTTGCTGTCTATTTGGAAATATGAATACCTTCGCAGCAAAGTACCCGCTGAATAATGTCGAGGTGCCGTCATATGGGGTATATACGAAGACTTGAACCTGCAGAAATCATCAAAAACCCGCTATGGGTGCTATGCAAAGTCGTGGACATGCATACAAAAATTTTTGTCATAGCTTTTGTCAGATACGAAATTTGAAATAATTCCGGTAAATAATGCCGCTAAAATCGTGAAAATGCCGAATATTGGGAGGACATTGCCCATTTACAAACTTAACCTGCCTTCTGGTAAACTATGCACGTATGTAAAATGTAATCCTTCTATCTCAATTCGTTCGAAAGATTACAACGTGATTACAACAGAAAGACGGACGTCTTAGAATTTTACGCTGATCCAGAATACTTTGTAGGGTCTATTATGAATATTTCGAGGAATTACAAACGGAATGACAAAGCTAATATACCCTCCATTCTTGAAATATAATGAACCAATTCCTTATGATATTTGAATGCATAACTACATTAACAATCTTTCGGAATATCAAGGTTTTTCTAATTTTTGATTGGTAGAATTTATAAGTAATGTGTTCATTTCCAATTTAACGGCTGCAGGTTCAAGACCACAAATTCCAAATTCAGAGTTTTTTCGATCGTTACATTTTGCTCTTGAAATAATGCCACATAGCCTTTGCCGATGTGTATTTAAAATAATATTTTAAAATTTATATTTCTGTATATAATTTTCCATATGTTAACAAAATCAGCAAAAATGGAAATGTCAGAAGTACCCTTTTTAGATGTTTGTGATTCTTGCTGAAAGTTACTTTCAGCGTCAAAAATATTCGTGATTGAACGTAAATGTTAGTGTTTTCGCATATTTTAAATGCTAAATGTTAAGCAATAACAAAATGACAGTCTTCTGTCATGTTCTACACTCTAACTCCAATCAAAATTCTGCTATAATTGGTGGTAAAGCCTTATTTTCACTTCCTTTTGCAATAGTTCAATTTTGTAGAACCTTGCTCTATTGGTTTATGACCTATATTGATAATTTTTTGCAAGTAGGGTTTCTACATAATAAGGACTCAGTATAGCTAAATTTAACAAAATTAAGTAGTTGTAGAGCAAGACTGTTCAAAAAATACGAACTCGCTTACTAGTCCAATTTCTCTTTGCTTTTTTAAAGTAACAATAAATCTGTGTTAATGCATAATATATTTATTAGTTTTCATATTTTGCTTCATTAATAGTTTTGGGCAACATTCATGTTTAAAAACAATTGAAACAAATGGTAGAATACAAACAAAAAATATTTGTTTTCTCTTAAATGATCTCTTTTGCCGACTCATGTGCTAACACGCGATTTTGAGCAAGGCTGTTTTAAAATCAGGGAAATTTTATGGTTTTCACAATTTTTGCAAACATTTCCAAACGCAATGGACTTCTATTCTGATTCTAAACCCAATTTCACGCAAAATTTCGTATCGGAACATAACTGCAACATATTACAAATTAACATGAATAGACGTACAGGAGGACCAACGGCGAGTTGATAGGCCAATATTTCGAAGTTCTACCAAATTTTCGGCCCAATCAAGCATATAACAGTCAACATATAGTAATATTTTCACATCGCTGTTCTAAATAAGGTTTTATTCCCTCCACTATATATGTATGTTTGTCATTCAGCCTATAGTATGTTTGTCATTCAGCCTAAGGCAGGAAATTGTGTGTGCAGGTCAACATTTTGGTATAGCCCCCATATAACGGTACTTCCCTATATTGATGATTTTAGCTACATTATTCACCGATTTTTTTTTTAAAGTTTCGCATTTGAATATTGCAGTGGCTTATGACAAAAGTTGCCTATGCAGGTCCACGTCGTCGTTTAGACCCTAATATGACGACTAAATTTGGTATTTTTAAGATTTTAGCAGAATTTTTAACGGATTTTATTTTTTTGAGAATTGCGAAATTCGTTCCAAGTTGTTATATTTCTGTTTCCTTTCCTGCATTTAGCCGGTTTAATATGCAAGCGCTAAGTGATAATTTTCGTTTATAATCATATAATCTAATCTTGTTGCAAAACACTGATTGCAAACAAAGGTTGATAACTTTTTGTTTGGTGTTCAAAAAGCGCTCTTTTGTTAATAGCATTTGGCCAGCAATTGTGTGTGGCCAACAGTTGATGCTCATAATGCATTTTTTAAAGGTATATTTAAAGATATAAAGTGGTGTAGTTTCCATTTTTTAATGTTTTAATATTTATAATTTGTGGTATACAGACAAAAAAAAAAACAACAATATTTTAGTAACAGCTTGTTATCCATTAGTGTCTTGCTTATTTCTCAAAAGTCTTGTTTGCATTAGCAATAATCTCATAAAACAATAATAGGTGCGAATTGTTAACTTTACCTAACTAACTAACTCCTCCTAATAAATAATAAATGTATTTGTATTTTTAAGTACTTGCTCTAGATGTCGTTCATATCTATTGAAATCAACCTTATTAATATTGCTAGTATTGTATTGACAATCTAGCAATATTTTAATTTGAGCGTTACTTTTTATATAATCATCATTAAAATTATTTGTTGAACAATGAATTTATTAAGTCCCAACAAAAACAATGCATATGCTACCGGTGATTTCCAACGATGACTAATAGGTATAGCTCGTAGAAATTGTACTCAATATTTTTCATCGTTATCAGGTTTTATTCATTGTCATAAAACACATACACACAAGTACTATGAAAAGTAAACGACTAACCGCAAGACATTGCAAACTCTTTTGTTAAAAGTTTTCAATGCTCTCTTTTTTTTATCAATCTATGCTCATTATCAGACATAAGCCAAACGTTATTAACACAAAATAGTTATCACAGCAGATTTTTACTGTGGAAATCAACATTTGTTGTTCCAATATGTAAACGGATATACAGGGTGAAATAAAAATAACTGCAACAAAGTCAAACGCCATAATTTTTACATTTTTTGTTAATTTTATTGAATGAAAGCAAAAAATGTTGAAAATAGCATCAAGTTTTACAATAAGTTTAGATTTGTTCGAATTGGCCTTAAAACGGCCAATGAAACGGCCACACGCTCCCCGAATATTGCTCTGCGGTATTTTGGCCCATTTCCAGACACAATTGTCCAACGGATTGGTATCCGGAGAACCTCAAGGAACCTCATTTTGTAACCATTTTTGGGTGGCGCGTGCTGAATGCGATGGTGCTGAGTCCTGTTGGAATGTCTAAGGTCTGCGACCAAAATGTTTGCGTGCCCAAGGCTTAATACACCCTCCAGAATATTTTCGCGATAATATTTGGCATTTATTCTGATGCCACGGTCGATTACTACGAGCGGAGAGCGACCATGGACTGTTATGGCGGTGGCCAACTGGAGGTGCACATTTTCAGTTGACCTCTTTGGCAAGTAAACACGATAATTTTGTTTGTTTACAAACTGCTGGACAACCAATGTTTTCTCGTCGGAGAAAACCAAATTCGGAATTTCACCACTTTCGGCCAAGCGAACCAACTCTTCAGCTCTTTTGAGTCTATTGTCTTTCCGTTGCGGTGTAAGTTCTTGCACTATTTGGAATTTCAATGGCTTTACCGCGAGCTCATATTTGCGAATGGAATATTGCGATATGTTCAGCTCACGAGCCATTTTTGGGCCACTGCGACGCGGTTTTCGATCAAGTCGCTTCTTTAATTTTCGAACCATTTCTGCTGATGTTGCTATTTTCTTCCGTCCACTTCCTTGACGTCGGGCTACGCTACCAGTATTACGGTAACGAGCGATGGTAGAAGATACAAAAGATTTATTCACATTTAAATGCTGGAGTGCACTAACGATAGCCACTTGTGGTTTTCCAGCCAAATATCACGCTTGAATTCCATCACGAATAACTTTTTTCTGGAAAATTCTCACCAAAATACTTTTGTACGCTTTTAAATAATATAATGAGCTGTCACTGGAATAATTTTAACTGCTGTCGGACGAGAGGCTTGGAAATTACAGCAGTCTGAAGTTGGTTGCAGTTTTTTCATCTCACCCTGTATGTGTGTGAAAATAAACTTTCCCAAAGTATTGGACTAGATTCTATGTATAGATTAATTAAAGTACAAACTTTTTTTGGATTATTAAATATAAAGAGATGTAAATCGAGTCCTCGTGACTTTTGTTCACCACTGTTTGCTAGTTTGTATCCTGAATATGTAAGCTATTAGCATGTGCTTTTTATACATATATTTGTTCTTACTAATTGAAAACTATCTAGGCGGTGTGTATAAAACTATTAACAGCCTCTAAATTGGTCGCCTGTCTCGTTCTGCGTAAGATATAAATATTTTTCTACTAATAGCGCACACGAGACTATAATGTACAAAACGGACCACCATTGTCCGATATATGGTTCGGAAAGTCGGTAATTTGTTACTATAGGCCATTCTGTTCGTCACGGACATTTTGTTAATATTGGTTTCCATGAGAAATTAACAAGTACTATGGCCGTGATCATGTATGACTTTTACGAATATTCTTAATTCGTTTCTTTGCTATTCGTAAACGATTGTAAACGGTAATTCTAACAATGTGGCTGCCGGTCAAGTTACAATCAGAATTTTACTCCGCAGTTGCCAGGTTTTATTTCCAATGCAATTATGGCAACTGACATGCCATATTTTTCACGGATAAACTAATTAAATGATAAATGTATTAAAACTATTTGTTTTGATAAACCATTCTTAGTTGCAATTGTTAATGCATAAATTTATTTGTCTAATTTGTAGAACAAGCAACAGATGGTTCAATGGCCACCGAAAATTGGGCTCTGAATATGGAAATATGCGATATGATCAATGAATCTTCCGATACAGCCCGTGATGCAATGAAAGCTATACGCAAGCGTTTACAGCAAAATGCTGGAAAAAATAATCAAGTCATTATGTATACATTGACTGTACTGGAGACATGCGTTAAGAATTGCGGTAAAGCTTTTCACGTTCTAGTGGCCCAGAAAGATTTCATACAAGAATTGGTTAAACTTATTGGACCCAAAAATGATCCACCATTGATTGTACAGGAAAAAGTACTCAATCTTATACAAGTTTGGGCGGATGCTTTTAAAAATCAACCTGACCTTAATGGAGTCACCCAAATGTACATCGAGTTAAAAAATAAAGGTATTGAATTTCCTCAAACGGATATTGAAAATATGGCACCAATTTATACACCACAACGAGTAAGTCTTACAACTTTTGTGTTTTAGTGTTGTTAATTTGGTTATTATTTAGAGTGTACCGGAACCACCACCGCCTCAAGCCGTGACTCAACAAGCAGTATCGCCTCAGCATTCTGGAATGCCGGTATATTTTTTGTATATTCCGTTAATAAGTGTCCGTGTAAATATCACATGTTCGTTTTAGAATACCGCTTCCAATCAATTAACACCAGAGCAAATCGCTAAATTACATTCTGAATTGGAAATTGTATCGATGAATATATCAATCTTAGGAGAAATGCTTACTGAACTAAAGCCAGGCCAAGAAGACCCAGATGATTATCAATTGTTAAACGATTTAACAGCTACTTGCAAGTATGAAGACAAAGACAGACATGCAATAAGTAATAAATCATTAATACCTATCTACCTTTCAGAGAAATGCAATCTCGTATTGTCGATCTAATTGGCCGTGTGACTGACGATGAATTAACTGCAGAATTATTACGCATTAATGATGAGCTAAATAATATGTTTTTGCGTCATCAGCGCTATGAGAAAAACCGTGCAACAACTACAAACATGACTTCTCCGTCGGCTGTATTGGGTGCCGCGATGGGTGTGCCGACCACAAATGTCCCAGCATCAAATTTACCAGCATCAAATGAACCAAAGTTATTGGATTTTCCAGATGCCAATAAAGACGATATGCTTAATAACTTTAATCGCTTGGGTAATACACTTATCAAGTGCTTTGTGATCCCTATATTTATAAATGATTTTATTTTAGGTCTAAATAGTTCAACGAAACCCAGTAACAAAGATGCCGATGAGTTTGATATGTTGGCACAATCTCGCACCAATGGAAACAAGTAAGTTTTTTTCAAATCACCTGATTAAAAGCACGTTTGCAGTTTAGAGGATTTAGTAAACCCAGTTGATTTAGATTCCGTTCCGAGGAACCTCATTTTGTAACCATTCATGGGTGGCGCGTGCTGAGTGCAATGGTGCTGAGTCCTGTTGGAATGTCCAAGGTCTATCAAGGCTTTAATACACCCTCAAGAATATTTTCGCAATAATATTCGGAATTTATTCTGATGCCACGGTTGATTGATACGAGCGGAGAGCGACCATCGGCTGTTATGGCGGTGGCCAACCGAAGGTGCACATTTATTTTTTACAAACTGCTGGACAACGAATATTTTCTCGTCGGAGAACACCAAATTCGGCAGTTCACCACTTTCGGCCAAGCGAAGCAACTCTTCAGCTCTTTTGAGTCTATTGTCTTTCTGTTGCATTGCAAGTTCTTGCAATTTTTGGTATTTCAATGGCTTTACCCCGAGTTAATTTTTCAATATTGGCCGAATGGAATATTGCGATATGTTCAGCACACGATCCATTTTCGGCCACTAACACGGGGGTTTCGATTAAGTCGCTTCTTTACTTTTCGAACAATTTCTGCTGATATTACTTCTTCCGTCCACTTCCTCGACGTCGGACTACGTTACCAGTATCACGGTAACAAAAAATGGTAGGAGACACAAAAGATTTATTCACATTTAAATGCTGGAGTGCTCTAACTATAGTCACTTGTGGTTTTCCAGCCAAATATAAAGAAATCACATTATCACACTTGAATTCCATCACGAATATTTTTTTTCTTAAAAATTTTCACCAAAATGCTTTTGTACGCTTGTAAACAATGTAATGAGCTGTCACTGGAATAATTTTAACAGCTGTTCGACGAGTGCTTTAGAAATGACAGCAGTCTGGAATTGGTTGCAGTTTTTTCATCTCACCCTGTGAATATCTAAAACTAGCCACACAATGTATTTAAATGCAGACGAAAGAATCGAAATGCGATTGTTAAAAACAGTTCCATTAACAATTATTTCCTTAAGTGAAACAATTACAAATAAACTTGAATAACCACGATCCATAGAAATATATGAAAAACATATGTTAAGTTCTTATATTTACATTTAATTAAATATATTTATTTTCTTTAACTTTTTTTCTTTTCAGCAAAAGTGATTTGTTAAAAGACATTCCAACCTTAGATGCCACAGCTGGCAGTGTAGGTTCGCCATTTAAACGTGCCGGCGGAAATGGTTTGCCGGTGGTAAGTAAAGTGAGTACAAACAATTTTCTATTAAAAACTAATGTTTTTCGTATTGATTTCTTAATATTTTTGAATCTATGTATTTGATTGGCATTTATCTTATTGTTTTCGTATACACTATTACTTTCCAAATTTGTTTTTTTTTTATTTTAACAAATCGCTTTTTCCTTTGTGTTTTTAAAACTATTTTCATTTTTTTTATGGAAACACACATTTTTGTTTCTTTATGATTTTCCAACAATCCCCTACATATTTTTTGTTGTTGCTGAAACTATGAGAAGCCTGTGAAAGAAAATGAAATCGATGAAATGGAAGCATGGTTAGGCAGCTCAGTAAGTAATGTTTTTCTTTTAATCATTTCGTTTCTTTATGTTATAAATTTCTTTTTTTTATTTTCTTCTAATTCATATATTTTATGCTGCCATTATTCATGAGTATATTTTTCACCATCACTATTCTTATTATATTTTACATTTTTAATTATTATTTTGTTTTTCGCATTGTTCTCACTACAAAAACCTCGGGTCTTTATGAATAAGTATATTTTTCGTTCTGTCCCTTTTTCAGAAAGTGATAGAAGGCCTCGAAGAAACTGTAACCAGTTCAGAATTTGATAAATTCCTGGAGGAACGAGCTGCAGCCGCGGAAAATCTTCCTACAATTAATGCCACCAATAATTTAGACAATTCTGCTCAGCAAACAACCAATCAACAAGCTAAAACTAAGAAACCAGAAGAGGATCTTTTATTACTTTGAGCTTACCTCTGCTGCTGCTATATATCTAGCCATCTTCACTATGCAAAAGCCGCCTCCTCTACGAAGATGAAGTCATTATCATCATACGAGTACATCAAATATTATTATATTGGCTTTAATTGTTTCTTTTTTACTAAATGTCTAATTAAAATCCAAGCAAATTGTAGTTCAGCGAAACAAAGTGAAACTTAAAATAAGAAATATAAAAGAAAACAAGATATCTAACTTCGATAAAAGTATTGCTCTTATACTAATATTGTACACTTATAAGTAATATAATATTGGAATTTGTGAAACACACCATGGTTCATTCTGATTTGTATGTTATTTTACAAATTTTGTGTATGTATGTTTCATTTAGTTTCCCTGCACCAATTCTCTTCGTAACTTACCCCCTTTTTGTCCACGACTGTCGTCATTTCCATATCTTTGCTCATATTTTGTGAATGTATTTTTTTCACGTTTTAGTTGTAAGATATTATTTTGTTGTAATTTTTAATGATTATTTGGAAAGGAAATTGTTTAAAAGTATACCTATATTTACTGCATTTCAATTGTACATATTTAATTGTATGTATATACATATATTATATATGCATATACCCCTTTTAAACCCCTTGGTTTTGCTCTTATCATGTTTATACTAACATGATAATGTAAAAGTTTGTCAAATGTTGATTTTAAAATTAAAATGTTTATATTGATATTTGTCGGCTTTTCTCTTTAATGTTAAGTGATTCTTTGTTTTGTAATCATTTAACAGTATTCATATTGTTTTATTTATTTCTATTAAAACTCTTGTTTAAAACGAAATATGTATTTATTTTTAAATTTAAAATAAATATTCGAAAACTGAAAATGTTGTGATGTTTTGTTAGTCACAATTTTTAGGTACAATGTGGTCCAGCAATTGGGAAAAGGACATGGTAGGTCAAGTTAAAACGAATTATCAAAAAAGTATGCCATAACGTACAATACACACGGGGAGAGTTAACAGAAAGGAAATGTGCGGTTTTTAAGAACACAGGGAAAAGCAAGAATGTCTATTTATTTTCGACCCTCTCCTCAATAACTAAAGAGTTAAAGAGTTGCTTCGCTTGGCCGAAAGTTGTGAACTGCCGAATTTGGTTTTCTCCGATGAGAAAACATTCGTTGATCGTTTTTACTTGTCAAAGAGGTCAGCTGAAAATGTGCACCTTCGGTTGGCCACCAGAACTCAAGCGCCGGCCATGGTGATTGTGTAGGCCGCCATAACAGAAGATAGTCACTCTCCGCTCGTATTAATCGAAAATATTCTGGAGGGTATATTAAAGCCTTGGGAACGCAAACATTTTGGCCACAGACCTTGGACATACCAACAGGTCTCAGCACCATCGCACTCAGCAAGCGCCACCTAAGAATGGTTACAAAATGAGGTTTCTCGCATCATTTCCAGTGCACTATGGCCACCTAAATCTCCGGATACCAATCCGTTGGACTATTGTGTCTGGAGTATTTTGGAAAGCAAGGTTGGCACTAAAAAATACCAAAGTGTCGATCACCTCAAGCAAGCGCTTCGCCGGGATTGGGCCAAAATACCGCAGATCAACATTCGGGCAGCGTGTGACGGTTTCATTGGCCGTTTAAAGGCCAGTTCGAACAAATCTAAACTTATTCTAAAATATGATGCTATTTCCGAAATTTTTGATTCCATTCAATAACATTAAAAAAAATTTAAAAATTATGGCGTTTGACTTTGTTGAATTTTTTTTATCTCACCCTGTATAGCATCAGAATCGGAGGTACCCTCAAATAATTCGTCCCCTTTCATGTATTTGATGCATCAAACCCATTGTGTAAGTCAAATTGCACTGCAATAAAATTGAGGATACGATTATTATGGGGAAGTATGCAGGTTTATATATATTGCTACATAGAAACCAATCAAGGACAAACTCTTCATGTAAGCGGATCAAATTTAGCATGTTCCTGATTTTCTCATGGTCAGCTGTTTACGCTCCTGAGAAAAAAATTGTATATCCTTAAGTATTACAACAAATACGTGTTTTAATTTTAATTTAAATTTTTGAATTTGTTTTGTTGTTATTAAAAACCACAAAATATTTGTATATAAAATTTTGAATGCATACAAAAAAAAAGGGTTAGCGAAGCGCTTTGGGCTCATATAAATATTCGTTTGAAAAAAATAGCAAGACCTTGAAATGAAAACTTTTATGAAGGAAAGAAATGTCAAATGAAAAATTTTATAAAGAAAATATTTTTCATTTCATATTTTCATAGAACAAGAATCTACTCTCTGGTGTTCTCTTGAAGACCGAAGTCTACGTTCAACACTTTTCTGGGTGGTTTATTTCTATTGTACTTCATGGGACCGTATCGTGATATACAACACTTGCCACATTAAAATTTTGTCTTAGGAAATGGTACTCATATCATTTATTATTAAAATTATTGCAAATTATAATCCGTACTTCTACATAACTGATTCTGGCACTGTAAGAGGCTCTGTATTTGCATTGTATTCTTCTTCGTCTTCTGTTTCGCTTTCAATAATTTGTTTTCTACGCTTTCTGGAAATCTCGGGTCCACTGACGTGACTATCCCCATCATCTTCATCAATAGTCACGTCATTGCCATCGAGACCTTTACTGCCCTCCACATTCTCGTATTTACTAAGACGCTCTTCCAACTCGGCGATTTTTTGCTTTTTGGTATTTAATAGGACGGCCACTTTCCTCAAAAGTCTTCTTTCCAAATTATTTTTTTCCTCTACGCATAGACGATAGTCATCCAGCAGTTCCCGTGAGTGCTCGTCAAATTTATGCGCTTTTTCCACTCGTTCACTTAGTGCCTTATTTTGATTATGAAGTTCCTCCACGGCTGTGTCCAAAATATCGTAATGATTTCTCATTGATTTTAGTGGTATCTCCATATATAGCATTGGTATGGAGCCCGGTTCAGATTTCCATACCTTAAAAGCATTGTCCTCTTCATCTAATTTATATGAACAGCCTGGTAATGCAATATACGTCGTAAGTGCTAAACGACACTCTTGATAATACTCATTGTAGGGTATATTTAATTCACTTGCAGCCTCCTTCATCTGTTCGATAGTCACTGATCCTGTGTAGCACTGATTCGTTTGTGAGTCTTGTAATTTTATCATGATTTGATCCTCAAGCCATTTTGTTTGCAGATAAAAGTAGGGTTTGGAATCTGCTACGATGTCGGTTGTTTTTAAAAGTTTGTTAACGGAAACCGTGTTGCAGGACATTTTATTCGTCTTGTTGTGAAATAGTTTTCAAAATCAGCAGACGATATTAGGTGTGTCTGGTTACCCTAAAATTTGTAACAATTGTTACAAACTGTTACTGGAAGTCGTCTGTTAACCCAAAAGTTCTGCAAAAGAGAGCGGTTGGAGAGAGAAATTTTGACAGTTCTTTCAGTGAGAGTTTGCAAATTCTTGCTGGAAAAATTTCTTCTTGCAATCACTTGCAACTCTTCTTCTTCTCATTCATCGACATTCAATCAGATGTTTTCTATTGTTTGTTTATTTATTTTTGTGCTTTCAATTTGAAATTTTTTTGGAATTAGCAAGACTAATAGTTTTTGGAGAAAAACTTTACAAAATGTGAAAAACGTAAATGTTAATATGTAATAAGAAAATAAAAGACTATTTCCTTATGCTTTCAATTTGAAATTTTTTTGGAATTAGCAAGACTAATAGTTTTTGGAGAAAAACTTTACAAAATGTGAAAAACGTAAATTTTAATATGTAATAAGAAAATAAAAGACTATTTCCAACATTTTTATTTAAAAAACTTGTAAAATTAGTATTGCATCCTTTGTTTTAATTCTCCTTATGGGGGACAAATTGGTTTGTTTTGATTTGATCAGCTGATTAGTTGCAAGCTTCTGCAGGAATACCGTCTGTTTACTTTTCGCATTTTCCTTGCAAAAGAGAATAAAACTACCTTACTCTCTCAGAAAGAAGTTACTGGACAATTCCTGCAGGAAAAGTAACCAGACACACCTATTGTTTACGTTTTGTTTACAGTTTGTTTATCTTTCGCATGATACAATAATAAAGGTAGCCGCATCAATAAACTGTAAAAATATTTTTGTCATTTAAAATTTTGAATGGAAAATTATTTTAATGTGTCCCTCAAGATAAAAATAATTTCTCGGAAACAGAGTACAAATATCTACCACTTGAAAATTAAAAAAAAAAAAAAGTGAAATATTTTTACTATAAGCAGTTAAAATTGTTGAGAAACACATACCAAACACACATCAACAATCTTCCACATTGCGTTGTATCATCAACTGTGTCGATGCGGCTACCTGTATATTAGTAACATGGATTTGTGTATCACAAAACAGCTGTGTCGGCAAGTGATGTCAACATGTATGTTAGGAAAAATCGATATATTTTCAAAAATAAAATGTTTTTAAACGCGAGCCAACGTCTCATCGGGGGATAGGTTGCTCACACTAAGCTATCGTTAAAGTTCAACAAGTTAAAAAGTATGTTTCGGTTTTGCCGACAGATGTATACTCTCAGCCAATGTACGGTTATTTAAAAATATTTAGACTTCTGTTATGATTATTCAAATGTTTAACCCCTTATGGAGTAGGTACCGAAGGAAAGGGCCAATATTGGCCATTTTATATCGGACCTAAATAAATATGACATGAATGTTGTGAAGTGTCAGGTTTGGACTATATTGGTAACTTCCTTCATTTTACATGTGATATGCGATAATTTTTAGAAAATGTTATCATGTGCGTGAGGTACCAGATATAGTCGACCGAAGTTTTCCATTTTCATGCTTCATCTAATACATATAAAAGTATTGGTATGGGCAATGTTACAAGAAAATCGAACATTTATATCTATTTTATGCGAAATCATAAATTCTATATTCATCTCAGGTTTCTCTCAAAGAGAGATATATTTAGATATAGCAAGTTGTAAAGAATCACTGACTTGTTTCGCAAGTTATGACAGATAGAAGTATTGAAAGTTATGACCCTTTGTGAGTAAGGTACCAGAAGGGGTTCGCAGATATATATCATCTTCACAACAGATCCTGTGTTAGAAAATATTTGTATGTGTGAAATTTGAAGAGCGTTGAATGCTTATTTCGCTTTTTGAGCCTTTTGTTTTTCAAAATCTTGAACCCTATGTAGGGCTGGTAGCCACAGAAATAGTCCGATCCCTATCATCTTTTTAACAGACATAAATATTAGGATTTGCAAAGTTGGAGCAAAATCGGATTATTGCTTCTTTTTCTGAACAAAAAATATTTTTTTTTTTTGAAAATTTCGACCTTTTTTGAGGGAGGTTCCAGAAGGAGTGGACCGATGTATTCCATCTCGGTAGCAGACCTTGGGTTAATAAAATTATTGGGATGTGTGAAATTTTAAGACAATCGGACTTTTACATCACATTTTATAAGAGTTGTAATTATTCAAAATTTTAACCCTTTGGGGGGGAGGTACTTTAGGGAGTGGACCGATATTGTCAATTTTCGCACCTGATCCAGCAATGACGCAAATATTAGGATTTGCAAAGTTGGAGTTCGAAATTGGATTATCGTACAAGTACAGCAGATTTCCACCCCTAACTTTCGATGCCAACAAATGCATTGTTTCATGTCATTCCCATATTGAAATGCTGGATTTTCAATAAAAAAAATAGACGTTTCACAGGCACACACACAGACACGAAAATCAGTGTCCTTGATGGTCCTGTCAGGTGTCCCCTTTGGCATCCTAATTCTGTACCATAAAATGTAATAAGTCCCTTGTAAATCGTGAAATCTTGTTTAAATGTTTAAAATATATTCTCATTAGATAATTTTGCGAAGGAAATATGGGGTTTATTATAATATCCCCCTAAACTATAACTGTAACTTATTCTGATTCCACCAATCGATTCATAACATTTCTGATACATTTTAAACTATGATTTGAGAAAGAATAAAACACCATTACATTTAAGATTTCTTTTGCATTTTGTTAATATTAACTAATTAAATATTTATTTATTAAAATTACTTAAGGTGTAAAATAATTTCATTAGTTTTTCCTTTTTGGATGCAGTTTTAGTTACATTTGTTTTTTTTTGTAGATAATAAATATGAACTTGTATACACACAGCAAAAACCTCCTTCGTAATGATAATCAAAAATGCATAACAATAGAGATATTCGAATCAAATTAATTTATATTGACATTGGTATGTATTATATTTCTCAATTTATATTTTCTTCTTCTTTCTTTGATATTTGTACAAAAGATAAACTAATATAATATAAAATTTACTTTCTTTGATGATGGTGTTATTTGGAAAACAGAGGCGTTACCAGTACGAAATTTTGTAATTTTTAATTTATATATTATGAACAAAATGTTATATGTATATAATTTCTTTGTATATAATTAAGGAATCTGTAAAGGATATGGACTTATTATCGTTTCAGTTTTTTTAGTTTCTTTTCAATTTATTTAAATGCATTTTGAATACTAGATACACCACCAGCAATACGTATTTTAAAAATATGCAAATAATTCCTGTTATATTAAATATAAAAATAAGAAAATACTTAGAAACAGAAATAATAATCACACACTCGTACAATTAATTAAACAATTCGTAAAACTTATTTTAAAAAATCGTTTAAGACATTTCTTACACAGTACATTTGATAACTTAACAAATATTATACAATTTTTTTTTTGCAAAAGTAAAAGGAAAAATTATTATAAAACTATGAAAGAAAAAAACATATTGCAAATATAGAGAAAAATTTTAATAAAAACTTGCATAGAAATGGCTTACATCTTCATTTTAAAAACATTAGATTTGCTATTGAGAACCCAAATTTATTTAAATTACGGCGTGCTACAAACATAAAAAAACTGAATAGAGAAGTAAATTGCATATTTTGGGAACACACCCTCAAAAAGTTGTATTAGGACAAAAAGTTCAATTTTTGTGGGCTTTTAGATAAATATATTTTTATTGTTTTGTTAACTAAATTTAAAAACGTGAAGCATGTTTTTTGCTTGCCTAGTTTATTGTGAAGATCTAGGGATTTTCGACAATCCGGCACACTTGCATATGTTTATGGAATAATCAATTGGACCTGCAGGAATATACTGGTGTTGCAATTTTCTGTCGATATCATAAGGGAAAAATTGGTCAAAATTGAAAAAAATACATTCTTGCATTTCTGGAACAGAGCAAATATGTAGACAACGAAATACTCTAAAAACAAAAAGAACCAGAACAAATGAAGTTCATAAGGTTTTTGCTTTTCAGAAATATTATTAAAAATCCTTTTTTAAATTGCAAATTACCGAATAGATTATAATTTTACATATAGGGCTTAAGGAAAAAATTATGTGGGGATAAATTCCTACACTCAATATCGAAAAAAAAATCGATTGAAATGAGTTTGTGTATGCCATTTTTAGATTAATGAAATTATATAACTTTGTTTTGTTTTTGTTGAAAATTGGTTTTAACTAAAATTTTCTAATTAATTGAAATTTGTTAGATATCAATGTGGCGAGGATGTGCCACCTCTTTTGGCTACTGAAAAGAATATAGAATAATATGTTTTCTGTAGAAAAACCTTAAAAATGACAGACTTGTTGATTGTTTACATCAGGTTTGATGAGGAAGTCTAATTTTCTTTTATCCTTACCAAATATGCAATGTTTCTAAAGATGTCGAGGGAGAAGAAGAAGAATTTGAAGTAGAGGGACCTTTTATATGCTCCCAAGATCTAAATATTCCAAACGAAACCACATCCAACCAACATTTTGCATTTAAATATAAAATACTGTACAATTTGTAACCTCAAATTCGTACTCCCGCTTTTAAGTTGAGTTAGTTCAGCATCATTCCCTAAAATATATGGTACTTTGATTTTTTAAGATAGCTAACGCATAATATATAAATCTTATTGAATTCCAAATTATAATGAAAATTTAAGTTTCAAAAGGAATATTAAGTGTAATATATCCTTCATTCCTTGGCAGATGGTTTACCAAAAAACTTCGATAGAAAAAATCAAAAATTGATTTTCCCAGTCATTAAGAAAAAGGCCCGTGGGTTGGTCTCTGTCAAAATTATACTACGCATTCTAATTTGTTTTACGAAATAATTAATATGGATACGCAAGCACTTGCTGAGAGACATGTTTCGGATGAGAAACAGAAGAACATTTCCGTGATTCATTAGCACCAACTGCAACTAAAAATTGTCGAACAACAAAAATGTAATATTAATTTAACATAATTTGTTGTTCAACGTAAGCAAAATTTGGGCCTCTAAGTGAAGATTGGACTTCAGTTCTAGAGAAAATTTAGCAGAATTTAACATTTAGCATCTTATTGCAATAATGTGGAATCTGTATTGTCATTTGCTCACTATTCGACAAGGATGTAACAATTTTACCTTCAAGTGAACATTACCCGGGTTATGAAATTAAGTGTTTCAATTTATATAAGAATACTAATACTGTTCTGACTGACTTTAAAGTACATTTAGATTTAGGAAATCCACTCCATTTCAAATATCAACTCCATAGCGTATATGTCAAATAATATGCACGCAATTTATGAATACGATTTACCCATGGTACAATAAAAAGGTAAGGTAGAGCTACCAGCTGATTACAATTTTTTCCAAGTTTGCCCGACTTCTTCCAATTTTTTGCGTGTATTTAAAAAAAATCAATGATTGAAAGAAATGTAAATTGCGGGACCCGCATTGAGGATATTTACTAGATTTGAAAGATTGAAAACTTTGTATCATATTTTTTAGAAAAAATCCAGGTATTTCATTTATTTTTCGCGTTTTTAACTTTTTTTATATGAACAAAAACAACGAATAAATAGAAACAACTTGTTGAATATACTTTTGAATAATTCTGAAAGGAAGCGGGCATAGCCTTAGGGCTGTATTTCTGTAGTTTTATGAAGTTGTTCTACCTCCTTATTGTACCATGTATTTACCATGGTAGAAGAATACAGGTTGACGCATCGACACAGGTGACGGGACATTGAACTGTCAAGCCAATTTTGGAATTGAAAATTTTGAATGAAAAATTATTCAAATTTGTAAAAATTGTTGAAAACGTAAAATCTGCTTATATTAAAAAAAAGAACATTTTAAAAATTTTTGGCATATCAATGTTCCCAAGCAATTGACGCGTGACGTATGGGCTATGGAATTGGCATTTAAAATATTTAAAATTGATTGGATTTGGTAGTGTAAACGTGCTCTTAAAGAAGGGTAGCATAAATCATATAAAGAAAACATTGAGAAATGAAAGCTAACAACTTTTTTATATGTTTCCCGCTGAGGGAATTATTCACTTGCACTAAATCGCCACAAAAAAGGAAAATTTTGATTATTTTGAATAAAAAAGGGTCGTTGTTGTTCATTTGGACTGAATTGCTATTTAGAGAAAGTTATAAGATCTTACACAAATTAACATTTAGCAATGGACAGCACAGCACATCTGCAATAAAATTTTGTATTTTGTGATCTGAACCTTACATATTGAGGGTGTTTCGCAAATATGCAGACTACTGTTGAAATATGCTTTTATTTTGTAATTATTTTTGGTTGTAGCGCAATGCAATAGCTGCTGGGTAAAGGACCAAATCAGAAAGGGTCATTTACTCAACAGTTCCTTATTTTTGTTTTATTTATTTTTTTAAACATAAAAATTAAAAGCCTAAGAAGACACAAGAAAAAGTAATTTTAGTACATTAAAACAAAATAATTATAATAATAATAAAACAGATATTTTGCAGCACACATGCATATATAATATTTTTGTTTTACTTAATATGTAATCTATCATTTGTTTATAAACGACAATAACTAGGACGATGACATCGTAGCAGGTGGCAAGGATAGATGTTTGTATGTGTGTGTATTGGGATGGGTTAAACAGCTGATATTTATTAACACACCATGATGCACCGTTGGGTTTTTGTGTACATCCTCCTACGCCCTCGCTCTTCATCATCATTGTCCTGGCATTTCGATTTGTCTGTTTGCTCTTGAAATAGTGATAGCATAATTTGGGGTGGACGACTTGTATATTATGCTGCCAATAGATTTCGTATATTTTTAGGCGTATTCTCTTCATTAAGATGTTTTGTTGTATATCGCAGAGCATTTAGCAGAGGCTCCGCCTTAATGGCCGGCTGTTGTTGTAGAAGTCTTACACATCCCTTGACATCGACATGAGCACCGCGGGCAAATGCACCGACTGGATGAACATGATCGTATAGTATAACAAGACCGACCATAACTCTTAATACCAGCAGATGGGTTTCTTCGCGTTCAATTTGTTGAAGAAGTTTTCTGGAAAATATAAAAAAAGATAATTTATAAAATTAAAGTATTTAATAAATATAAATTAATTGTGAACATAAAATTAAAAATAAAAAAAATAATAAAATACATGCCGTGATTTATGATTATTCTAACAGTTGACCCTTTATTGAGGAGGTTCCGAAGAAGTTGGCCAATATTGTCCAATTCGTATCGGACCTAAGTCTGATATAGATATTACAACGTGCCATATTTGAACTATATCGTCTATCTTTTATACTGTATATGAAACAAGTGCAAATTTTTGGAAAATGTAGAACTATGCATGAGGTACCAGATATAGCGGACTGAAATATTCCACTTCATCTAATAGAGATAAACATATTGGTATTTGCAAAATATGAAGGAAATCGAACATTTATATCCAATTTTATACGAAATCATAAATTCCAATAAATTTCTTATTCATATCAGATTTCTGGTTAAGAGAAATATTTAGATATAACATGTTGTATAGAATTGCCGACTTGTTTCGCAAGTTATGACAAATATAAGCTTTGCAAATTGTGACCTTTGTGGGTGAGGTACAGGAAGGGGTTGGTAGATATCTATCATCTTCACAAAAGATTTTGCGTTTCCAAAATTTTTAGATGTGCAATTTGAAGTGAGTTGGATGCTTTTTTCGCTTTTTATAATTTTCAAAATTTTGAATACATCGTGGGGAAGTAACAATGTAATGTATTCAGTAATAATGGACTGTGTCAAATTTGAAGAGAACCAGATGCTTATTTCAGATTTTATGATCATTTTGGTTATTCAAAAGTGTGACCCTTTGTGGGGGAGTTACCAGAAGGAATGGTTCGATCTCTATCTTTTTAACAGATTTTATGTTAATTTCGCGTATTATGAGCTCCATGGTTATTCAAAATGTTCACCCTTTCTAAATCGATAAATTTCATATTCCTATCAGATTTTTGGTAAAAGTTCGCAGATTATGATAGATAAAATTTTTTTTAAAATTGTGACTCTTTGTGGGTTAGGCACTAGAAGGGGTTTGCAGATATATATCATATTCACAACAGATATTAACAAAACAAAAATATTTAGATGTGTGAAATTTATAACAGATCTTGTGTTGATGAAAATATTGAGATGTACCAAGTCTGAATGGAATCGGATGTTAATTTCCCGTTTTATGCGCTTCATGGATACTCAAAATTTTGACTCTTTGTGGGGGAGGTACCGGAAGGAGTGGACCGATACATCCTATCTTGATACCAGACTTTGAGTTAATAAAAATATTGTGATGTGTGTAATATGAAGAGGATCCTTTTTTTGGATTTTATAATCGTTTTGGTTATTCAAAATGTTGACCCTTTGTGGGGAAGGTACCAGAAGGAATGGTCCAATATCTACTATCTTTATAACAGATCTTCTGTTGATGGAAATATTGAGATGTGCCAAGTCTGAATGGAATCGAATATTAATTTTGCGTTTTAGGAGCTTCATGTATATTCAAAATATTGCTCCATATACAGGTTTAGCTGAAAAAACTGTAACCAACTTTAGACTGCTGTCATTTCTAAGCCACACGTCCGACAGCTGTTAAAATTATTCCAGTGACAGCTCATTACATTGTTTACAAGCGTACAAAAACATTTTGGTGAGAGTTTTCAAGAAAAAAAGTTATTCGTGATGGAATTCAAGCGAGATAGTGTGATTTCTTTATATTTGGCTGGATAACACAAGTGGCTATCGTTAAAGGACTCCAGCATTTAAATGTGAATAAATGTTTTGTGTCTCGTTCCATCGCTCGTTACCGTGATACTGGTAGCGTAGTCCGATGTCAAGGAAGTGGACGGAAGAAAACAGGGGCCAAATCACCGCATTCGTCATCGAGTTCTGTTTTGTATAGAGAAACATTTCGATCGCTGTAAATTTTTGGATCACCGCATTCGATCGCCATTTATTTTGTCTATTACTTTTTTACATTGCTGCAAACATATGGTAATAAGAAATTGGAAGCGAAAGAGAACTTCGTTTTCTTCGTCTTCGGACTCAGAGCATGAGAACAAAGTGCCATTATTATGAAAAAATATTCGTGACAAATTCAATTCTTTAACATTGCCTGAAGTGGTGTAGGTGGTTCTATTTAAAATAGAATAAAACTGCCACTTTCACCAATTTCTTCTTTCTTTTTGTCTGTCTCTTTTGTTTGATTTCGTGTTCATCTTCGAGTAAAAACAATTCAAGAACGACTGCGGTGATCCGCGTAAACTACATTACGATGCTGAAAAATAGTGGCCGAAAAATGGCTCGTGAGCTGAACATATCGCAATATTTCATTCGGCAAATATTGAAAAATGAACAAAATGATCGTGTTTAGCTGCCATAGAGGTCAGCTGAAAATGTGCACCTTCACCAGAACTCAAGCGCCGGCCATGGTGATGGTGTGGGCCGCCATAACTGCCGATGGTCGCTCTTCGCTCGTATTAAACGACCACGGCATCAGAATAAATGCCGATTTTTTATCGCGAAAATATTTTGGCCGCAGACCTTAGACATTCCAACAGGACTCAGCACCATCGTACTCAGCACGCGCCTCCCAAGAATTGTTACAAAATGAAGTTCCTCGCTTCATTTCCTGCGCACAATGGCCAACAAAATCTCCGGATGCCAATCCGTTGAATTGTTGTGTCTGGAGTATTTTGGAAAGCAAGGTTGGCACTAAAAAATACCAAAGTGTCGATCACCTCAAGCACCTCACCAGGAATGGGCCAAAATGCAGCAGAGCAACATTCGGGCAGCGTGTGACGGTTTCATTGGCCGTTTGAAGGCCGTAATTCGTACAAAAGGTGGCCAATTCCAACAAATTTAAACTTATTTTAAAATTGGATGCTATGACATTTTTTTCTTTCATTCAATAAAATGTAAAAATAATGGCGTTTGACTTTGTTGCAGTTTTTTTATGTACATGCCGGCAAAACCGACAGACACTTTTTAACTTTTTTTTTTGTTTTTGTTCATCATTCCTATTGAAGGAGTTTCGTTGTGTTAGTGTTATAACAAATACTTACGGGTTTTCCAACATTCGCAGACACACTTTGGCCATTGTGCCCAGTGTTTCCGTTGTGTTGTCCACATCGTCGGCATTATCGGCAACAAACTTAGAGGTAGCTTCACTTAATACTTTCAACATGGGTGTAGCGTGGGCATAGAACAATGACATTCGATTGGCCAATTCTGTGCTCACCAGCATGTTATTTGTCGCATCGATACGTTGTCGACTGACGATACGTCTGTAATAACTGAAATCATTTTGTATCGCAGGTGTTTTCATCTGAAAGTAAGAAAAAATTAATAAAATATATTATCGCATATATCATAGAGTAGCTTGCGAACAGAATGAAGTAGTTTGATAAAATTGTACCCAAGGGAATTATAGGCAGGGCAGATCTGCTCATTTTCATTTGGGAGAGAAATTTGCTCACTCGCAGGATTGCTCGAGTGTCTTTCTTCACTCGTTTGTTCTGTATGGGAGCACTCCCAAGTCACTCTTGTTTGAAAAATTGGAGTGGTAGAAGAATCGCTTAAAATAGAGCAAGAGTTTGCTCTAAGAGTGAAAACAAGTAAAAAACCAGTTAAGTTCAAGTTAATTTCAAAAAAAATCCGTCGAAAAATACCGCTCATTTATATGGGGGCTGAACTTCAAATACGAAATTCAAAACAATTCCGGTTCTTCAAACAATTCCACCTCTTTTTAGGTTATTTGGCGATGTTCAAAACGCCGGACAACTATCTTCTACTTTTGACTCTATTTTCAAAATCTTCTGGATTTTTCAAGATTTTCGCCAACTTATTCAATTGATCCTTGTTATTTGGTATAGTGAAGAAAATTCTATAAAGTAAAATATCAAAAATTAAAAATCCACAGCTGTGGCACACATGAATGAATTGAATAGTTAGGTAGGCAGAGAGGCGGACAGACAGGTGAATTAGTTTCGAGAATTAAATTGAAGCTACTTTAGTGGCATAAACGTGCAAAAGATAATCAGAAGGAAATGGAAAACATTCGTGATTTGTAAATTAAACAAATCAGACGAAAACAGATTTTATGCGTAATACTCAGTTGGTCGGTCGGTCGTTCGGTCGGGTTGTGTTCACATATAACATAAGCAAAGCATACGTACACACATAAATGGTCAATTAATATAGATGAGGGGGCAGCAGGTAAGCAAGTAAATTACAGCGGCGACATGTATTTTCCATATTCAAATAACTCAAATAATTCTCGCTGAGAGTTCAGGGAAAAACGTGAGGTTTATGTTTGAGCTCATCACATCATCATCATCGTCGCAAAATTAAAACTACACGAGTTAGCAAAATAAGCACATTCTCCCACCCCTGCTTTTTCCTGCCCTTATGTTTCCAACATGAAGATGTGGTTGGTTGTCCCACAAGGTTCTAAGTTTTTATATATAAGTAGTTAATGTTAATGTTGAAAAGTGTGCAGTGTTTACATGGATTCGGATTAGACAACAACATGATTCATGGGGTAAGTAATAAATTTTAGAATTAATCAATTGAAATCTGATTTGAAATTGAAATTGAATTTAATTTTCAGCGAATAATGTATATTCCGCTTTTGCTGTTGCTCTTACTCTACCGTGTTCTTGGTCAGGCGGATGACTACTATTTTAATAACAGAGATTACCAGCCATTACAGCAACATCAACAACTGCCAGTAGTAGGACGTAATAATTTCCACCCGGAACCTTACAACACTCCGTACACGCCATTGTCCTACTCAAATAAAGATTTTGTGCAAATATCTCCATACTACAAGAACAATGGCGATAATTTTAATGAATTTCAGCAGCCGCCATACTCCAATGCCAAATCAATGCCATTTGCTGTACCCAGTGCAATAACAGTGCCCACAGATCTGTGGTCTGGTCCACCCATAGTGGTTGAAGATATTAATGATTACCATTCAACCACCAACCGTATTGGACGTGTGGGTAATAAAGTATCGTCTTTTCGTAGCACTAATAACTTACATCCCAACCACCACACCCAAGGAGCCAATGATGAAGGAAGGAACGAACAACCACACCAACTGCCTCCACAGTTGCAACCGTCACATTTTAATTATGACAATGGAGTAGTATATCACAGTGATATTCGGCGGCATCAAATATTTAACTCAGCTCACACTGAAGCTTCTACAACAGGACAGGAACAACAACCACAACAAAAGCCCCAAATAAATCTTAAAATTTACAATGAACCAGAAACATCCACAAAAACAACGCCAAATCATCAGCGTTATCACGGGAATGTCGCTCAACCGAATAGCCAACAATTATATGCCACAACTTCAAATACAGATTTGAATTATTACCGAACTCGCTCGATTTTCAATGGGGCAACTGAAACTGACCCATTGGCCGAACGAGGAACGGATTATGCCAAACATTTTATGGAATATTTGAAAAAATATCCTCGTAGAATAAAACCAGAATATTAATTGTTAGTCATTGAATGAATTGTAGAATAAAATTGAGAAATTGTAATATTACTGTGTTTTTAGGATTCGAAGGGCGCACAGGGTTTTTATTTCAGTTGGACATGAAACACCTAAACCTAAAACTTTTGTAATATGAGTGTTTACACCCTCAGTCATATGGCTACAGAGGAGAGGGTATATAACATTTGATACGGTCAAAACGTGCCCCATCGAAATAATGGTTTTAGACCCTAGGTCTCTTTGGACTAAATCTGTTTCAAGACATTTGGAGTCGATATAGCGATGTCCGTTCGACCGTCTGTCTGTCTGGTTGGTGCGCACGATAACTCTCGAATGAAGTATCTGATTTGGTTCAAACTTGGTACATCGCAATACGATTGTCAAACTTAGATCGAGTTCGGAGATGGGCAATATCGGTCTACTCCTTCTGGTACCTTCCCCACAAAAGGTCGAAATATTCAAAAAATATTTTGTTGTACAGAAAGAGAAAAGATAATACGATTTTGTTCCAACTTTCCAAATCCTAGTATTTGCATTAGTGCTAGGTCAGGTGCGAAAATGGACAATGTCGGTCCACTCCTTCTGGTACCTTCCACACAAAGGGTCAACATTTTGAATAACCATGATGCTCGTAAAACGCGAAATGAGCATCCGATTCCATTCAGACTTGGCACATCTCAATATTTTCATCAACACAAGATCTATTATAAAGATAGTAGATATTGGACCATTCCTTCTGGCACCTCCCCCACAAAGGGTCAACATTTTGAATAACCAAAACGATTATAAAATCCGAAATAAGGATCCTTTTCATATTACACACATCACAATATTTTTATTAATTCAAGGTCTGGTGTGAAAATGGGACATATCGGTCCCCTCCTTCTGGTACCTCCCCCACCTTGGGGCAAAATATTGAGTATCCATGGAGCGCATAAAACGGGAAGTTAACATCCGTTTCCATTCAGACTTGGTACATCTCAATATTTTCATCAACACAAAATCTGTTATAAAGATGGTAGAGATTGGACCATTTCTTCTGGTACCTCCCCCATATAAGGTTCCAGATTCTCAAAAACGAAACGCTCAAAGCAAAATAAGCATCGTACTCTCTTCAAATTACACACATCTAAATATTTTTGCTAATGTAATATCTGTTGTGAATTTGATATATATCTGCGAACCCCTTCTGGTGCCTAACCCACAAAGAGTCACAATTTCCAAACTTTTATCTGTCATAACTTTCGAACTTTAATCAGAAATCTGATAGGAATATGTAATTTATGGATATATATGATATCCAATAAAATTGAATATAAATAACAGTCTTAGGTCAGATACGAATTGATCAATAACGTTAAAATGCTGCGGAACCTCCCCCACAAAGAGTCAACATTTTGAATAATCATAACTCAAGGCTGGGGGTATACATTTCTCGGCAAACCCGACTGATACTTTTTTACTTGTTAGTCGTAAATAGTATACCCTTACCACTGTTTATGCACGAAAGATCTTGAGTAACTCTGTCTCAATATAATTGTATACCCTTCACCTTGGAAAGGAGGGTATATTAACTTTGTAATTCCGTTTGTAACATGTCTAAATATTCGTCGTAGACCCCATAATATATATTCATAATCAGCATAAAATTCTAAGTCGATTCAACGATGTCCGTCTTTCTGTCTGTCTGTTGAAATCACGATACAGGCCACATTATTTGACGTAGAGCGTCAAAATTTAGCAGAATAATTTGTATTGTGTCTAGGATGGTTGGTTTTGAAAATGGCATATATCGGTCCACGTTTTGGTATAGTCCCCATATAACGGTACTTCCCGATATTCGGTATTTTGATGATTTTTGCCGCATTTTTTCATGGATTTATCTAAAAATTGGTATTTGTTGGTCATAGTGGGTTCTAGCCGCGGTGGCGAAACATTGCCTCTATAAGTCCACGTTTTGGTATAGTCCCCATATAACAGTACCTACCGATATTCGGTATTTTGATGATTTTTGCCACATTTTTAATTGAATCAAAAAAATCAAGCTAACTTGATAATTTCGGGTTTTATGAGATTAATGAAAATTCAAAAATTTTACCCTTTGTGTGAGAGATACCAGGAGAGGTGGACCGATATATCGCATCTTCACAGTTGATCTTGTTTTTTATGGATTTGTCTTAAAATTGGTATTTGTTGGTCATAATGGGTTTTTGCTCCGGTGGCGAAACATTGCATGTATAAGTCCACGTTTTGGTATAGCCCCCATATAGCGGTACATTCCGATATTCGGTATTTTAATGAATTTTGCCACATTTTTTATGGATTTGTCTAAAAATTGGTATTTGTTGGTCATAATGGGTTCTAGCTCCGGTGGCGAAATATTGCATGTATAAGTCCACGTTTTGGTATAGCTCCCATATAACGGTACCTTCCGATGTTCGATATTTTGATGATTTTTGCAACATTTTTTCACGGATTTGTCTGAGAATTGGTATTTATAGGTAATAATGGGTCCTAGTTCGTGTGGCGAAACATTGTATGTACAGGTCCACGCCACGATATTCGGTATTTTGATGGTTTTTGTCACATTTTTTCACGGATTTGTCTAAACATTGGAATTAGTTGGTCATAATAGGTTCTAGCTCCGTTGGCGAAACATTGTATGTATAGGTTCACGTTTGCCGATATTCGGCATTATGAAGATTTTTGCCACATTTTCCCACGAATATGTCTAAAAATTGGTATTTGTGGGTCATAATTGGTTCTAATGTTTCCATTACTCTAAGTATTAAAAGTTCGGCCCGACCGAACTGAATGTTTTTTTACTTGTTTTAATAAGTACCCGATATATACTTATTTATTTCCTGCTTTGTTCCTCCTATTTCGTTTTCGCATTTAATATTTCTAACTTTACACCCCTTGACGCCATACTTTTTTTTTGATTTCTGTCTCCTATTTGGAAATTAATAATACAATTTTACTTATATATATATATATATATATATATATATATATATATATATATATATATATATATATATATATATATATATATATATATATATATGGGGTCTACAGTGTATATTTCGAAGTGTTACAAACGGAATGGCAAACTTAATATACCCTCCACCCTACTATGGTGGAGTGTATAAAAATAAAATAAATAAAATAATAATTCTATAAATGCAATTACATATGTATGTATTTTTGGTCACTGATGCTGATGCTGATGATTGAATAGGCTAAACACAAACCCATTCACATTCACATTCAGATTGTAGTTGTCTGTTGTTATATCAGCTCATCGGAGATATAATGTACATTAGTCAAGTGTACAACCATGGGCATCACTCTCATCAGTCGATAACAACAGTATGGAATATTTAGAATTGTATTTATTATTATTGTTGCTTTTAATGCATGCCGGTTTTTGTAGCGACAGTGTTTACGGAAATATGCCAGTTCTCGCATTACAGAACGGATTTGAATAAAAGCAATCCAGCACTAAACATTGTTTTTTTCCAGGAGTAATCACTTCCAAACTAGCTTACTAATCCCTTACATTAATAGGGGAATGTAAGTACTTACCAAATTGTCAACACAACAGTTGAATTTGTGTGAAATTACATGAGAGTACATTTTTGATCCCAGTAAAAACACTTATTACAGGGGGGCCTAAGGCCCTGAAATTTTTAGATATGTTTATGACATTTTGCTTGAGAAAATACACTTTTTTGTCCGAAATGATTCAAAAGGCATTTCTGGCTGCGCGCATTGACCGGGATTGTCGCATGAAATAAGTAGTTATTTTCAGTTCAAAAGTCGGTAAAAGGTATATATATATATATAATGATATTTACGAGTAGCCGATTCAATTAAATTGTAGCAAAAAATGTAACAAAAATTGTATTGGACGAACGGAATGAGATGGAATTCTGAAATTCGGAATGAGAGCCACTGATGGAGTGTAGAATAGATGCACCAAAGAGTTTTTGGAAATTCGAACTTAAAGGTTACGAAAAGTTCTAAAATGGTACTAAACTTCAAAAATGGTAGTTTGAAGTTTTTTGGGGAATTTTGAAGTTTTGTAATGGTGTCCATGTTGGTGGTTTTAGAAATATGTACTGCAAGTGGACAATAAGTACTAAATTGAAGGTTCTATATTTGGTATTGGGTAAAGGGATAGAGACAAAATTCTGAAATTTGATGATTAGTTTACTGATGGCATCTGTGTGTGAGATTTGTACGAAAAGTGCTAAATTGTACTAAATTCGCTATTGGGTTAGGATTGTTTTCACTATTGGTTTTGGAAATGTGTACTATAATTGTACGAAAAGTACAAAATTTATTATTGGATGAAAATAGAGCTGAAATCCTGAAATTTTATATTGCGATAACTGTTGGTGTCTAGAATTGAGATATGGAACTTTTTTGCAAATAAGTACTAAATTTATATGAAAAGTGCTAAATGTTACTAAATTAAGTATTGAGTGAATATATAGAACTTTTATATGGATATCTCTGTTGGTGGTTTTGCAAATGCCTACTATAATTGTCCGAAACGTGCGAAATGATACTAATTTTGGAACACTGTTGGTGTCTAGGTTGGATGATGTACATTGTTTTAGATATGCGTACTAAATGTTACTAACTTTGGTATTTGGTGAAGAAATAGAGCTGAAATTTGATACTAAGGATTCTAGGTTTTACATATGGAGACTTTGAAATAGTTTTGGACAGAACAATTGGATGTGGTTCCATTGTGTAATATCCTCCACGGTAAAATCTAAAATAAAGGATTTTGAAGACCTTTTGGTGTAAAAGGTAAACATTTTCCTATTATTCTTTCCGAAAAGAGAAACACTTGAATAATATATAAAATCTTGAAAGTCGGAAGATTTAGTACGATGTATGGAGTTTGAATTGGAAAAATTTGTCGAACGAAAAGGCCTAGCACGAACTGTTGGAACGAATCTTAAATTTTCCGCTAAAGAAGTAGCGGGTACTTGCTAGTAACAAATAATGTTCGTGACAGTGGTTGAGTGC